TTCTTAGTCTGGACCAACTGTTCAGTCTGACAGGCCACTTTTTTTATTTCTTTAAATCACTGGTAAGTGAATGCAACATGGAGCCTTGATGAAATGAGCAAACATTGCACTGTGGATACATAAGTATATTTGTCTTTGTTTATGCACTATTAGAACTGAGGGCGCTGTATATAGAATTTTGCTTTGGAGCAATATTTGCAAAACTTGAAAACTTCTGTATCTTGGTGTTTGGAATAAATAAATAGGTTTTTGTTGGTTAAGTCTTAGTAAAGTCTTTGTTTCCATTAATGATTATTCAATAAAATAATTTTGTACTTTTTTTCTTCACATGGTATTGAAATGCAGGTACTGTAGTTTGACAGGAATATAGATCTTAACTGTTTCTAAAGTATGGAAATTGTTTTCCAGATCTGTCTCATACAAGTATTCTTAATAGGTAAACTATATATTGTTTTATGTTGGATATTGTTTTAGCGAGGAGCTTGTACATTTTGTTCCCAAATCCTAATATATTACATGTATTAGGACCTACTGTATGTAGTCTGACCCTAATTTTTGTTCCTGTTTCAATGACTAGAAGACCAGGTGAATTAGGACAGGTGCTGTCAGCTGTACAGTGTAAACTGCATAGAGAAAAATATGTAATTTCGATACAATTCTTGGGTGGAAATGTCTTTTGGCCACGTAGCAGCGGGCTAGCAGTTGAGTTTTAGGTTTGGGAGGGTTGAGCTGGAAGGGAACAGCACATGGGTGCTGCGCCTGTGATGTTCTCCTGAAAGCTGCTGTGATACTTCTGGGCAGCAGCAGCAAGCTTGGTGTAGAAGCTGGGCGTTTGCTGTGTGAAGGAGCGCTGCTTTAGCATTAATGCAAAGGAAGGAGCTTCTGATTTATTTGAACAGTCCATACAGAGAAAATGCATAGGTATGGGAAGGGGAGAAGCTAGGAAGTGCTGGAGAGGGAAGTACCTGGCACAGGGCCTGAAGGCAAGGGCAGGCATCAGTGTGCCTTCAGATGTATTCCTGGTTCCATCTCTTCCCCTCCGTTTCCCCAGTAGGAGGAAAACAAGTTTGTTCCTTTGTCCTAACCAATTGTCCTTCCTAATTTCGTTCTCAAAACAAGATTCCTGTAAAACTCCTGGATTTTAAAGCCAGAGGGTGCATCGTTCTGCTAGAGCCTGGCTTGTGAAGCTTGGAGAAACTTCTGCCACTGATGGCAGATCCAGGTGTGTGTTTCATGGTTCAGTCAAATCATGTAGGTTTGGCTGATGACTTAAATGTCAAAATCAGGTTTTGAAGATGTGATCTGAATTTGAAATAACTTACTGAAATGTGTGCTGTGGTTAGCCATGTTTCTGGGAGTGCGTGCCCTCTGATTTGAGCTTGTCCGAGCTCCCTATTTTACTTGCTTGATCTTAAGATTCTTGTAGGAGCAGACTCTCATGTCAGGAGGCAGTTGCTAAGTCATCTGTCAGCCTTCATGGGGGTAGGTTCACCTTGAAGTTCCCCAGCCTAAGAAATCTGACACAACCATTTTAATACTCTTACTGTTATTTGATGAAAATACCATCTCTTCTAATCACATGATTTACTGTCGATCATTGTCCTGACCGTGGAGCTCCTTCATGCTCAGTCTGATGCTAGAGTATCATCCCTGCTGCTGCAGCACTGGCACTTACTGGATTGTGAAAGTGTTCGTGACTGATACTTGGTCTGGTTTTTCCAATGGCGTTGGTGAGCACCTCAGGCTATTACAGTTGTTTAGAAGAGTATTTCATATCTTCATACTAATCCTTCAGTATCTCCATAGCAACTCTCTTGTGAAGGGGAAAAACTATGTACAGCTCTTGGCTGGTTAATACCTGCCACAGCTAACCAAAAGAAGTCCATGTTCAAATAGGCAAGTAGTTAAAAATGGAAAATACCATGGGTTTTTTTCCTGTTAGAACGTACATGCAGACAGCAAAACTTGAGAACAAAACAACAAAAAAGCTGGAATTCATGTTCTGCCTGCAGGGTGTTTCTGCTGGTGGTGCTTGTGTGCCAGCAAATGCTGTGTTTGGTCAGCAAAGGCTGAATGATAGCACAGGGTCTTGTTGGTTAATGCCCCACACCAAGTTTTTAAGGATGGCGTGGGCCCTGTTTTCCCGTGTTCAGGGATGTTCAGGAGAAGAGGAGGAGTTGTGTGCACCTCTGGAGCTTTCAGACTGTGGTGGTTTTAAGTTATGCAGATTGAGTACGTACACTGTTGCAAGGGACACCAAGGGAAGGACCCACTGGTGAAGCGGTGGATTTCTGTACCCTCATGTGTCAATTGGAGTACTGGTTTGCCGAATGCCACACTGAATCTAGGCTCCAGAAATGGCTGTGTCCTCTGAATAGAGATCCAAAGGTGCTGGAGATACTTTGGCTATTTTGCAGCTCTTCCAAATACCTTTAGAAGTCCCTTTGATCCCAGGAAATGCTTGGTGGCTGGTCTTGTGAAAGAGATGCTCAAACAGTTTGGTTTCAGGTGGGTGAGGGGGCAGAGCATAGGCTTAGATGGCAAGGTTACACATCTGGATGTCACTAAGTACTTGTCACTTCAGAGGAAGTTGGTGACAAAGCTGTCAGAGGAGGTCGGTGCTGTCCACGGCATGGCTGATCTGGCCGAAGTGGCCACAGCTCTGCAAGCTCAGTGTGCCCCTGACACACAGCGGAGAGCATCCGAGAAGCTCCTCTTCCCATGGGCATCCTGGGCACTCGGAGCACCTCTGGTGAGGACAGGCAGCAGCCCCTGTCCCTGCTGGGTCTCCATGGCCACCCACCCTTGGCTGGCTGAGGCAGCTGGCAGGTCCTTTGCTGCCCTGGCACCAGTGGCTCTCCTCAGGGCTTGTTCTGTCCCTTCACAGCCCAGTCCTGCGCTGCCTGGGACAGCAGCCCTGCAGCCCCGGCCTCTCCCCTCTGCCCTCCCCTGTCTGGGGGGAGAGCTGCTGCTGGGAGATGTCAGGACCTGCTCTCTGCCTCTTCCAGCTGTTAAAAACCTGGCTTGGCATCTGGCTTCGTGCCTGTGATGTTAACTGGGGCTGCAGTGTTTAGCAGTGGGAGGCAGGGAGTGGGGATGGCAGCACCCTGGGCTGGGTGCCCTGGGGTCCCCCCCAGCAGCAGCCTCGGCTGCCCGGGCTGCCACCGCCCTGCGCTTCTGGGGGCCTGTGGAGATGCTTCCCAGCACGAGTGAAGTGTGCCCAGAAAAAGGAGCTTTTGGGGCTGGAAAGAGAGCCGCTGTGGGCTGGGAAGGAGGAGCGCTCGGAGGCTGCCAGTGTTAAGGAGGGATTCAAATCAGCTTTCCGACCAGGTATTTCCCATCTTACCAGTCACCAGGATACAAACTCCAGAGAAGCAGTTTCTTGACTGTGGCTGCCTCCAGGCTGAGGTAGAGCCATCACTGTGGTGTAAAAGCATCCAACAACGTGGATCCGGGTTGGAGGTGGAGGAAGGAGGCCCAAGAGCCGGCCTTCATTCACACAGAGTGGGTTAATGGCAAAAATAAAGGAAGCAAAACCCTCTGAGCTGCCTCGGGGGCCCCAGGGGTGACAGCAGCAGGCTCAGCTGGCTGTGGGTCAAGGTTAAGGCTGAGGGATGAACCCTGACCTGTGTCCTGTGCCAAAAAGACAGACACCTGGGCTCGAGGCTGACGGCTGAGCAGGGGTGTAAAGCTCTGGGCTGCTGTGTGGAAGGAAATGAGAAAGCGATGGTGGGTTTGCAAGAGCAAGCTCATCAGACATGAAAATGAAGAGAAGATTCGAGCATGTCAGAAGCAGGAAACCTGCAAATAAGGGGGGGTCCTGCTGCACCAGCCTCTGGGTGCGGAGGAAAGGAAGGAAGGGATGGCACCAAGCAGTGAAATTGCTTCTGCATCAGTTCTCACCACAGAGGAAGTTTCAGGCGCTTTCCCCAGGCCGTGCTTTGCTGATAAGGGGCTGTTGAAAGTGAAGGCTCAAGGGTATTGCTGGTCTTGGGCATTTCTGCTCCTTTTAAGGCCCCCTCTAGCCCAGAGGTGTAGCTTAGGTCAAGGTTGGACTAGTCCTGGCATGGACCCATTTCTTTCCCCATTGCTCCTAGAACAGCAGTTCTGATGTTAAAATGTTTTTAAACCTCTAGGGCTCATTAGTGAGTGAGTTGGCCAAGGACCAGACCTGACCCACAGCTGGGGTCCCAGGTTGGGGAAAGCTGGCAGCAGGGCCAGGGCGATGGTCGTGGCAGGAGCAAAACCCCCCAGGCTGTGGTGGGTGGAAACCTGCCCTCTGGTTGCAGCTGGCGGTTCACGATTTAATCACAAACTCCCAACTGTGAAAGAGAGGCCCTTTAATTAAGATATTGTAAATGGTTACTGCTGCATGTCCAGTAGGATCCTGTTTTCTGGACCTTAAACCCAGTACAGTCCATCTGTTCAAGGGTTTAAAAATCAGCTACTTTGGGTGCAGTAAGAGGCTGGTTTCTTCCTGGCTGCTGCTCTGCTGTCCCAACAAGCAGAGGGGTGAGTTACGGGTGGGTGAGAGCATGAGGGTCTGTGGCTGCTGCACACAGGCCGTCCTGCACGGACACCCCCACCCCAGAAAAGTTTGGGCATGAGCTTGAGGTGCCTGACAGGGTCAGGCTGTTTCCCCACCTTCAGGCCAGGCTTCAGCTTGTTGGGCATTGGCATCCCATTTCCCTCCTGCTGTGGGAGCGCAGATGCGGCAGGGTTCCGTTGCAGCCTGTGGGCCAGGCAGGGCTCCTCCTGTGGGTGCTGGGTGATGCTTGGGGTGCTCAAACATCACATCTCGGGGCGCCTGGCTTTAGGGAGGATGGGCCCTTGGACAGCCCCTTCCTCCAGCATTGGTGCCTGCCTGTCCCCACCTTGGTCTCAGCTGTCGCATGTCCAGGCTAATGGTGCCTGGGTGCCTGGCTCCTATAGCATCAGTGAGCCAGGCAAATGCTCTAACGAGGGCTGGGCATCCACTGTGGCCAAGTGGGGCCCTGCCCTCAGCTGCTCTTTGCTCCCTTCCCTGCAGGGCCCTGCTTGGGGGCAGCCGTCTCTGTCAGGAGGAGGTAGGAGCTGATGGCTTCCCGTAGGCCCAGGCTGATGGGAGAGTCCTCCTCTGGCGAGGACACGGCCTCCGAGAACAGGAGGGAGCTGCGCAAGGGTGGATGGGGCGGTCAGCGGGCAGGTCCCGGACCTCCAAGTGTCTGGCAGGGGCAGTGAGGGGAGCCCTAGCCCCTTCCCCAGCCCTCCCTACCTGTCCATCTTGTCCCAGTCGAGTGATGGCTTCTTCACGACAGCGGGCATGGCGGGGACTGGGGCCACCCTCACCCCTTCCATGGAACAGGGCTCCCTGAGGGGGCAGCACAGCCCCTCTCCGAACTCTGGGCAGGGAGCCGGTGGCATGAGCAGGGTGCCCTCCACCCACACCCCAACCGTGGGGGCACCCAGGCAGGTGGGGGACCGGCTGGCACTTCCCCCCCCCCCCCCCGCCGGGCCCCGGGCATCCCCTCACGGCTAACGAACCCGCTAACGAAGGGCCCTGCCTTGGTACGGCCTCGCCCCCCCCCCCCACCGGGGGGGCCCCCCGGGCGGGTGGGGGCCCGCCTGCCACTTCCCCCCTCCCTCCCTGCAGGGCTCAGGGCATCCCCTCACACAGAGATTGGGGGTGCTGGGGGTCTGGCGGGGCGTTACCGGAGTAGTGGTCCACCAGGTCGTGCAGGCTGGGGAAGGTGAGCCGGGGGGAGATGTAGAGCCAGCCGTTCTCCAGGTGGTGGATGCGGTAGTGTGTCACCGAGTCCCAGGAGGCACGCTCGCTGCGGCGCACCGACAGCGAGTAGCAGCCTGCTGGGGCACGGGGCGAGGGGCATGTGGCCAGGGCACCTAGCCCACTCGGCCCCACTGCCCTGCGCTCTCCCACAGCAGGGATTTTATTGCCCCATGGGGGTGGCTGGCAGCACCCTTCTCCCCATGGGGCTGCGTTGCTGTGAGCATCCCTGTGTCAGCCCCATGCCATGAGCACCTCCACACTGGGGGCTGTGGGAGAGTGCTGGGACATGGGATGCCCTTGGGCAGCTGTCTGCCATGTCCCATGCACCAGCATCAGGGGCTGTGGCTCTGTACCCATCTCCACTTTCAGGTGTTGTGCAGGGATGGGCCAGCCCCAGCCCCACGGCCCCCTCGGTGCCCAGGCAGCCGTGGGGCCGTGCAGCACCATGCCAGTGCATCAGCCATGTGCACTGGGGCACCCGGCAGGATCTCCTTGCAGAGTCCCCTCGGCACCTCATCATGATGGCAGCCCTGTTTCATTTCAAAGGCTGAGCCTTTTCACTTCTCTGCTTAACCAAAAACTGCAGGAAGCCTGCTGGTGGTTTTTTTTTCTTTTGAGGCCCTGTGGCAGAGGCAGAGGCTCAGCACGAAGCGGGGTGCAGTGGCACCAGGAAACCGCCGCATGGGGCAGGCCGTTGCCACCAGGTGTGAGCAATGGAGGATCAGCCCCAGTGGGGCCCCACTCATGCCTTCGGCACCCCAGTGGGGACAGCTGGGAGGGGGTACAGGAGACGGGGCCTGAGGGCTCTCACCTCGTCTGGTCTGGCTCTCCCGTATCAGGAAGGACCCGCTGCGGTTGCCTGGCTGGAGCAGCAGCTCCTCCGCCTTCTGCCGGCTGACACCTTCGTACAGCCACCTGCACAGGTAGCGGGTGCTGGCAGAGCCTCTCCTGGCTGCGCAGGGGCACCCAGTGCCCCAGGGCCTGTCCTGCCCCGGCCAGGGCAGAGAGGACAGCTCGGGGTGCAGCAGCACACGTCCTGGGGATGCCCCAGCACACCGTGCTGCTTCCCCAAGCCCCAGTGCTGCTCCGCGGCACAAGGAGAGAAGTGGGGCAGAACGTCCAGGTGCGGTGGCCAGGGCTTGGCCTCAGGGTTGGCCAGGCTCTCTGTGGTGGGGCCGTGTCCCCCGGGGCCCACCCTGGGACAGACTCTTCCCAGCATTTACCTGTGCCTGACCTTGGCCACACAGCTGCTGGGGATGTGGCACTCCTTGCCGGACACCGCAGACGCCACCAGCCACCACTCCCCGTCCCTGCAGGGAAGGGGGATGAGCCATCCTGAGGGGCCAAGGCTGCTGGGCGCAGGGAGGGGACCCCCAGGACAGGTGCCACCATCGTGGCCCCATGGGCTGCACGCTGGTCGGGAGTGGCCAATCGATGCGGGGACTTACTCGGAGAGGACGCGGAGCTGCTCCCCCATCCTCAGGATGGTGGTTGTCCCCGCACCGGAGGGGAAGTCGCAGAGGGCCAGGGCCAGGAAGCCACTGGGGGCTGCGGGGAAGGCGAGGGGCTCAGAGCTCCCCCGGCACCACAGAGCCCCAGCTGGGGCGGGAGGACCATGCACACCAGGGATGCTGGCCAAGCTGGCAGTTGCCAGGCGCTTACCTGTCTCTCTGGGCAGCGGGGGCTGCATGGTGTTGGCAACTGCTGGCTGGATGCTGAGCGGCTTCTCCCGGCTGGGCAGGCTCCCCATCCCTTGGGATCAGCACGGGACCCTGGCCCCTGGCCTCAGCTGCTGCCAGCTGGGAGGGAAGGAGAGGCTCAGGCCCGGTGCCAGCAGCACAGTGGGCCCTGGGCAGGGGGGGTCGGCCCCCTGCGGAGCCACGAGCCCTGTGGCACGGCTGTGTCAGGATGCAAGCTCATGGGTTGCAGTCACCCACCCTGTGCCTCGGGGCAGGGCAATGCTGCGGGGTGATGCCAGCGCTGTGGCTCCGGAGAAGGGCAGGGCCAGGGCAGGGCTCTCGGCTGGGGCTGAGCCTGGCGGGCAGCTCCCTGGGGAGCCCTTCGAGGAAACCACCTCCCTGCCCCCGGAGGGTGTCTGGGGACTCGCTGCCACCGCTGGGCCCCCCCATCCACATCCCCGTGGTGGGCAGCAACTGGCCATGCTCACCCTCTGGGTGCTGCCATCCTGCCCCAGCCCAGTGTCCCCTGGTGTGTGGGGCACCCTGTCCCAACGCCCCCCCACGCTGGGCTGAGCCCCCCCAGACCCACTGCTGCCCTTGGTGGTCGTGGGGATGAAGCCCACTTACCTGCCTCTCGCTGCTGTCACCATTGTGCAGAACCAGTCAGGGCCAGGCAGACATCGGCTGGGCTCTTCCCTGTGGGGTGCTGCTCCAGCACAGTGGGTCCCCGGGACACCCAGGTTGCAGGGGCTCCCTCTGGCAGGGTGGGGCTCCCTCGTGCAGGGCAACCCCTGCCCTCGCAGCACCCGCTTGGTTCACCCTTGTTCCTCTGCTCTAGGGCTGGGTGTTTTTGGGTGCTGGAGCCGGGGCTGCTTCTGGCAGCGCTGCCGGTGAGGGGTGCGAGGCGCCGGCGCTGGGGCTGTGGGCTGCCGCTGTTTCCTGTGACGTGTGCGTGCACTGGAGCAGGGTTTTCTTTTTTTCACTCAGCCAACAGGTTGCTCAGCTCTGCCCCTTGGGGGAGCCTCGGTACGGGGCACAAGGCCTAAGAAAATCCCTGAGGGCACTCAAGGCACGGTGGTCATCGCATGGGATTTGGGGAGGGGGAAGCGGGAGGGACATGAGAGCGGGAGCAGAGCCAACGCCAGGGCTCAGAGGTTGAAGCTGGACAAGTGCTATCCCCAGCCAGGACAAACCACGGGAAGGGGGGGGTGGTCCCAGGGTGCTCCCCGCAGCACCAGGGCCACATGCTGCCCTCGGGATAGTGTGCTGTGCTGGCCACAGCACGGTGGGTGGGATGCTGCAGAGCCGGTGCCTCCCCAGCATGGCACGTCCCTCTGCCCAGCTCCAAAAAAATGCATGCGGCTATTTCACTTTTCAAAGCGAACACCGTTTGGCTCAGCCAGCACACCACCAACGGTCAGGACCCCCAATGCCCCCCCCCCCCCCCCCCCGGAGGAAAGGCCTTGGGGTTTGCTCTCAGCAGCTCCTGTGCTGCCATCCTGGGCTGGGCCTGGCCAGACTGCACGGGTGCTCACAGCCCCGCTGTGCGGCACCGTCCCCCTGCGCTTCCTGCAGTGCCCCCGCCGTGGGCTGGCTGCTTGGCTGCCTCCTGCCCCGGCCGCGCTGCTGCAGCTGAGCATCCTGCTGCTATTTATGCTGGGCCCTTGACAGTTTCTGGTCAGTTGTAAACCACCATGATGGTGTGAAATGCAGATGGAAAAGCGCTTTTACGAAAGCAGCCACCACCGGGGCCTTGCATGGCTATTGAGGTTCAGGCCCTCCTGAGCCTGGTCTGAGCTTGGCCACTGCTGGTTTGCAAGGTGTTGATATTAAGTTTAGAAGATTTATTTGCTCCTGGAACAGGTGGCAAAGCTCTGCTGGGGTCCTTGGGGTTGTGAGGGACAACCCTTGGTGTGCCGTGACCTGTCCCCAGTGCGGCTCAGCTCCCCTGAGCCCAGCTCTGTGCTGCCCAGCACCTTCTTGGGTTAGTGCTGGTGAATAAAATGTGGGCCCCAGTCACCCCCGGCCCCAGCCTGGCCAGTGGGGCTGGGCAAAGGGGCTGTATTGTAATGCATGGGTGGGAACATGGCACACAGGGCTGGCAAAAGCGAAACCACAAGTGGCCTGCAGCCAGCGGGTCCAGCTCGCACCCCAGCAGCTAGCGGGACCAGTGCCGCTGTAGCTCCGATCCCAGCCCAGGGAAGCCTGTCCTGAGCTCAAGCTTTGCTCTTGCCCCCCAGAGAATCATTTTGTCCTTTATTACACTCATTTCTCAACCTGTATTTAGCTTTGATGTTTTTGTAGTTTTTACCAGGAAACCCACTTGCTTATGTGAAAACAAGTTTACTTTTTCCAGTTATCCTTGGGGTAATAAAATATGACAACCCTCACTACAAATCTTGCCTTGCTTATGCCTATGAACCACCATGGCAAGAAAACTCTCGATCACCCCCTCCCTTCCAAATTGCTAAAATCTCATTTATTTACTCTCCTGGGTTCCTTGTCCACAGGCAGCCTGTAGCTCTAAGCTCTCCTGCTCCACATCAGCATAAACAGCACTCGGCAAGCTCGCACCAACCCCGCTGTGGTATTATTTCCTCTAACTCGTTTCATCGTCATTTTAATATTGTGTTTGCCTTTCTTCTGGTCTGTTGCTGTATGAGGGAACTCGAGGAAGAATCAGTGCAGTTAGCTGGCAATTAAGCACAGTGCTGCATGTACATCAGCTCTTCTCTTGCATACGTTGCTTTGCATCCAGCACTTGCATTTGGCAGCAATGAACTTCACGTGGCATCTGGAGGCCTGGTCTCTTTGATAGTCTCATGTCTTCTGTAGCCTCAAACTTATATTTTTGTTCATTTAATCCCATTGTCACTTCACTACTCGCTCATTAATACAACTGGCCCATTTTTCCCATTTCTCACCTTTCATTCAGTTTGTGATTCATGAAAACACTTTGTCTCACTTCCTGCAAGGACCTCTGCCACGCAGACCTTCCCCAAAGCAGGGGGCTGCAGGAGTCCACCCCGTGGGCATGACAGCAAGACCAGGTCTAATCTGTGACCAGCAGTTTAACCCCTCTTCACTCCCAGCTAGCTTTCTGTGAAAGTAAGATGACAGACATCTGAAACTTGAGAGCAAAAGCTGGATCTGAAAAGCAGAAGATGAAGAAATGCTTGTGTTAAACGACCAGCTGCTGCACGTCGCTCCACCTGCAGCTGGCTGCGGTGCAGGGGCAGACGTGCAAATAGAGCTCACCCTGCCTTCCCAGCTGCCCTCTGCCTCTTCATGTCACGACAACGGCCTTGTCACAGGGTTTACAGGTTAACTTTGTGTTGTATCTGTAAAACACACTGGTGCAGACGAAGGGAAGGCAGCTCCTAGCGCTTGCCTTTCTTTGGAGGCAATTCTTGGCAGCATGCCCTGTTTTGCAGCAAACTTGTCGTTTAGTCTCCACTCTGTCAAAGCTGGAAGTTTCTTTCTGCATTTTTGCAGAAGCCAGCTCTCCAGTGCCTTTAGACAGCCTCTTTCAGGGGACGCGGGGGCACCCGACCACGCTGCTCCCGCCCGGGACGGCTCTCCCAAGAAGAAAGAGTTTGCCTCTCGTGGTAGGAGACACCAAAACTGAGAACACTGGCAGGGGTGTCAGGTCGTGCCAAGACAAACACCATGAGCACACAGGGTAACAATGAAACTCAGTTATAGCTTTATTTAATAACTGGTACAAAGTCCCCCTCAGGCAGAGCCTCCTAGTCCCATTCCCTACCTGAAACGGAGCAGAACATGAGCACGACCCTCGGAGGAGCTGGCTCCCAGTGAGTCAGGATTGCTCAACAGTTAAGAAAGGATGTTTTGCTCATCTATCAAGACCTGTAGTAGCCTGACCCCTCATCCCTTTTCTCCCATTAACAGCTAGACCCTGGCACGCAGCAGGCATTTGCGTCCCGCCCTCTGTGACCTGGCCAGATGTAAAACGGCAGCAGAACTGTGAATTCCACAAAGACAGGAAATAGTACCTACAGGGAGGCGTTCACTGCTCGCACTTCTGACCTGACTGGCAGGAACGTGCGCCTGCAGGCAGTCATCTACGTTCACTGGTATTTCCTGAGCCTCGGTTAATACCCCGTATGGACGCTGCCTGGGGCGGGCAGCAGTGGGAAGCAGAGCTGGCAGTGCAGGAGATTTCTGGATCTCCACCTGGCAAGGGGCGCTGCTGCCCATTTCACAACCTACTTGATGTTAAAGATTCACCTGTGCCAGGGCAGAGTAGCAACCAGGTGTTAACTGCACCTGGCCCTTCTGCAGGAGAGGCAGAGGGTCGGCAGAGGTGGTCTGGAAGCCAGGGCTGCTGTAGTTTAATCCCTTGTACTCGGTTAATAGTGCACCTCGGTTAGTTAAGTTTACTTGTTAATTGCTTTGCCCTTTCAGGAAGCTCAGGTAAGAAATCGCTCTGCTCCTTCTTAACACACAGAGATGAGACCAAGACAGTATTTCTGACCATGTTTTCCCCACGACTGCCTGGCATGCCAAGAGTCCTGGGAACACGAAGACCTTCTGGTGGGTTCTGCACTCCAGGCACAGCTCTGCCGAAGGGCATCACCTGCTCCAGCGCCTGGAGTTTCACATCACCATGGTCTTGCTTTCCCATGTCCCACAGATGCATGTACCAACTGCACCACAAGGGTCCTTTAGCAGAAGCACAACTAGAAAGCAATTCTAAACCTCACAAAGCCACAGAAATTATATTTAAATGAACAGGGGAGACAATGGCTGTCATCTGGATTGATATACAGCACAGACAGGAGATGGTATCAGCGTGTACAGTAACGCGACTTACTAGGACCGCGGAATGTTAACGAGTTTTAAAGAGGCTCTGATGCCAAGGGCACAGAGAAAGGACCAAAGTAATGCCAAGTACAGACTACCAAGGAGGTGGCAGCTCAGATGGGCATGCACAAGTTAGAGAGAACCGTTAATGCCATGTTGGATGAAACGCTAGATTCTGAGTGGGTTCAGTGGGGGAGAGTGGAGTTGTCTGAATCCAGAAGAGGGGCTCCTGCCTAACAGGATA